TAATAAAAAGAACTTAGATCAAGCCGTACTCTCTCCCGAGTGGCGATGTGTGTGAAGGGTGAGCGGCGTTTCTGGCAGATACCAGGGAAAGGGAGAGGGTCCACACTTCTCAGTTAGGACTGCTGATCCCTACAGTGTGGGGATGTAGGCGGCCTTAGTGAATAGAACATGATCCAGATGTGATAGAACCAAGCAGTCTGATTACTCTACTTCTCATGATGATGATGATGATGATGATGATGATGGTGATGATGGTGATAATAGAGTGACTACTTCGGCGTTGGAGTTTGTTCGAAGTATTCTACTATGTCCTCCTACTCGACTTTGAAGACAGGACTCCCCGCATCCCCAGATTTAAGGTATCTCGGCACGCATGTGAAAAAGACCCTGTTTCGCCAACCAACCTACGATGTCATCTGAACCTGCGAACTCTCCCTCGATCCGAAATTATTCCGCTCAGCCGACCTTAAGGAAACGCGGATTCCTTCCACCGGCATTCAGCTGCACTCTCCTGTATTCGCCGGCAGCACTTCTGAAATACTCCACCACACCCACTGTCCCTCACCCTCCTCCCTCTTCACGCTCCCAGCTCTCACGGAGCGGATGTTGTCGAACGTGTTTTGCCGAGGCACGGCTCGGTTCTCTGTTACCTCGGCCGCATCCCGACGTCCTGTAATTGCTTCCTCACAGGTAAAGCTCTCTCTTCTATTCACATTGACATTTGTTGACACTGTGAAGTTCAGAATTATGCCTTCTGCTGTGCGATCGAACTCAACAGCCGCCGCTGGTACGCGTTCCGCCCCCCACCAACACTTCCCTCGTATGTGATAACGCTGACAAAACTTTTTCTGGGCATAGGCTACAAGGAGGACCTGAGTAAAGGGAGAATGCTACGTTTCCAGGATTCACTGCCCAAACTCCCGGTTCCAACACTGGAAGAAACCGCCGAGCGCTACCTCAAATCCGTCGAACCCATAATCACGCCGAAAGAATTCGAGAACACAAAAGTCGTTGTCCAAGACTTCATCAAACCCGGCGGTATTGGCCAGGCGCTTCAAAAGAAACTAGTTGCGCGCCGCGAAGACCCAAATGTCAAGAACTGGATGATAGACTGGTGGAATTTCGCAGCATACCTTGGGTATCGCGATCCCGTGGTGCCTTACGTCTCGTATTTTTACTCCTACAAGGATGATAAGAGGTATCAGAACCCGGTGAAGCGTGCGGCGGCTATCACTACGGCGGCGCTGGAGTTCCGGTCACAGGTGGTCACAGGGAACTTGGAGCCTGAGACTATGCGGAAAGCACCAATCTGTATGGACTCGTACAAGTACATGTTTAATGTGTGCCGTATTCCTGAGAAGCCGGCGGATTACCCCAAGAAGTACGATTATGAGCAGAATAAGCATATCATAGTGGCGCGGAAGAACCAGTTCTTTAAGGTGCTGCATGAGGTCGATGGAAGACAGTTGACGACGGGAGAGTTGGAGCACCAGTTCAGCCGTGTCTATGAATTGGCAAACTCCGAGAAGGTGCCGGCGGTGGGTGCGTTGACCACCGAGAACCGCGATACTTGGACGGATGTTTGTCCACCTCCCACCCCCACCCGGGATTGTATGGACATGTAATTAACACGATTTGTAGGCCCGTAGCCTCCTACTCCAGGCATCGCCCGACAACGCAAAGGCACTAGAAGTCATCGAGTCCGCATCGTTCGTTGTCTGCCTCGACGACACCGCACCAGTAACTCTAGAAGAGCGAGCACACCAATTCTGGCACGGGGACGGCCAAAACCGCTTCTTCGACAAACCACTTCAGTTCGTCGTAAACGAGAATGCAACCGCTGGCTTCATCGGTGAGCACTCGATGATGGACGGTACCCCAACCCTGCGATTGAACGACTACATTTGCAACATGATCGTCAACAACAAACTTACCTTCGACACTGAAACAATCCGAAGCAACCTCCCAGAACCCGTACCAATCAAGTTCACAATCAACAAAGAAGTCCAAGAGAAAATCGATCAAGCACAGACACACTTCCGAGAAGTAATTGGACAACATGATCTCCGTGTACTACAGTACCTCGGATACGGAAAGAACCTGATCAAGAAGTTCAGATGCTCCCCAGACGCATACGTACAGATGCTTATCCAACTAGCATACTACAAGATGTCCCTCCCCTCCTTCCCCCCTCCCGTCACCCCGCTAACCACCCCCATACAGGTACGGCAAAAACCGCCCCACCTACGAATCCGCCGCAACCCGCGCCTTCCAGCTCGGCCGCACAGAAACTTGTCGATCCATGTCCTCCGCCAGCGTCGAATGGTGCAAATCCATGTCCGACCCCACAATCCCCCAAAGACTTGCATTTCCCTCCTCCGCAATGCCATCACTTCACATGTAGAATACATTACCGCGGCCAGTGAAGGTAAGGGTGTCGACCGGCACCTCTTCGGTCTTAAGCAACTCCTCGAACCGGGACAGGAAGTACCAGAGATTTTTAAAGACCCGACTTATGGCTACTCGAGTAGTTGGTTTTTGAGTACTAGTCAGCTGAATTCGGAGTTTTTCAATGGATATGGATGGAGTCAGGTCATTGATCAAGGTTTTGGAATCGCGTATATGGTGAATAAGAATACACTACAGTTTAATATTGCTAGTAAAAAGTTGGGGGCGGATAAGATGTTGTTTTATTTAACGGAGGCGGCGAATGAGGTTAGGGAGTTAATGGAGACGGAGGTGGAGGTGAAGGCGAAGTTGTAGATGAACTGGGGGGGGGAGGGGGTTAGATTCATGTTTTTGGTTTTGTTTGGGACTGCGGGGTTATGTATCTAACAGTTTTGGTTTTTGGATGTATACACCATAGCGGTAGATTATATAGTAGATTTGCGTTGCGGGGAAATATCCTTGGGGGAGGGTTTTTTGTTAGACGTATACTGTTACTGTACTTTTATGTCATCACATCTACATCTATCTCATCTGTTCTTGGGAAATGACACATTGAGTGGTGGTGGTGATTGGGGGGCTTCGTTCCAATTGAAGGGAAGATTCTCTTTGGAAGTGCTATGAAATAACAATATCACACACAAGTGGTTGACGCAGGACATCTCCATTTTACCCATCTTATCGTTCTTCCACATCTTCACCGAGGCAAATCTTGCGGCAGGATCTTGTCTGGCAGTTGACGCCTTAGAGATTTGGTCAATGTCTCAGAAGACGATGGCTTGTCCACCTGGTTTATGCTTGACTGGTCAATGTTGTACGGATTCTTCTGAAACGGTTGCAAAGACATGGACTCCCCTTTGTCGTCCTTTGAATAAGATTACCGCAATAACCCAATTCGTCCAGGAACACCTGAAGGTTGCGATATTCCTTGCAGCAGGGTCCAAACTACTCGGATTGTCCTGATGTGGGATTCTGAGTCGCCATCGTCCCGGCACATGGCTTCCTTCTTTATGGCATACGCAACATAGCATTTCCCAAACCCGTTTCTTCTACTAATCACACTCGTGTTGCCTAGTCCCTAATGATTTGGAGAAACGTTCGCGGAATAAGTCTTTTCGTCAGCTTCTAGTAATCAAAAACCACCCGATAAGATTCTAGGGGTATTAGTTAAATCAGAGTCCGTTTCTAAGGTTTCGATATTTTTAGTGTATATACTGGGACTTGTAGACCCTAGGGATTGATGGAGCGTGGTTTTAATAACTCTGTCGAGATTGGTAGGATTTTAAGTGTTGCAGATACCAATAAAAAATTGTATTGCCGTACTCAATACGGTAATAATAAGACCAAAAAACCCCTACTTTAAGCCTTGAACCCTCGCTCGGCTCGCTCTGCATCTAGGGAGATGCTTGGACTTGCGAAGATTATGTACGCCGTAAAGTACAGAATGTGATGCAGATAGTGTCCTTGAGGTCTATTGTCTTTGCATAGAGCTGTGGTTCAGTAATCTTCACTGATATCCAGTTAGTAAATATGTGTGGTGAGTGGGTGGGTGTATTACAAGAACCTGGTGCTGCCAGCTGCAGTTTGCATATTTGAAATACGCGCAGTGTAATGTCCTTTAGGATGGGGGTGTACTGTATGTGTCCCGATATAGGGTTTGTGGGGTTAAATGTATAGTATTTGGCATGAGTAGAGCCTGGGATATTTCGTCTCCTACCTACAGTCAATCCACAGGGCCCAGCACCATCCCGGTGTATGTAGTCTTTGCCTTGACGTAGTCTCGCTAATCCATATTTTGCCAGTGATCCTCCTAGCCATCCTTTCTAGGCATTAATTTGTGCGGAAAAGAGTGATTAATGGATAGGAGACTATGGAGGGTTGAAGATTAGTATAGGGTTATATAATGAAGATTTTGGATGAACTAATATAACATTCGCCGGCCTGAGGGTGGTGGTCATCCCAGATACATCAAGAATCGTAAGTGAGCTGCCATTTCCTCCGTGCCGTCTATGATGTGTGTTTTGTAATGACTAGAAATGGGTTACCCCACTGCTGCGGTATACGGGACGAAGGAAGGGTGATGTCTGAGGTAAGGAGAGGTTGTGGTCGGTGATGGCCATGAGTGCAAGTTGATATCAAGACGGAAAGTATCGTATTTGCTGTGGGTTTGCAAGTACTATTATTTGTGCCGTACAATCCGGTCGAATTTATTGGTTTTGTAGGAGACATGATATCTAGGTTGCTTCAATTTGTCGAAGGTCTGCCAGATTACCATATTGCTTCAAAATAGATGTTTCTGTTGACGTCTGCGCGTATTCCAATAGCACCGAGTTCTCTCAGTGGTGATGGTGATGGTGATGGCGGAAATAATGGTGATGACGGTGGTGGTGGCGGTGATAGTGTATTGTGGTCTGGAAGATCGTATTGATTCACAGAACTCGTACTGCGCCTCCACCATCGTAAGTATACCCTGGGAGCACAATCACAGGTCTTCACTCATCCCCAGCCACGTTGGCGACTCAAGAGGCCTTCAGAGTACATCATGATATCAACAGGCCTCGGTAGCTTAATTGGTAAAGCGTCGTCTGGTCCCATGAAGCCCCAAAATTACCGACTTTAGGTAAATCGTTGGGTGGGTTGGGTTCAGCGGAGATGTGGTTCGAATCCTCAACGGGGCATTTCTTTTTTCGAAAAGGGGAAGAAAGAGGGAGTGAGATGGTGTGGTAAAGGGCAAACATGAGATGTCACTCGGTAGGACACATTCAGAGCGGCAAACGAGTAAAACAGATGTACTTATTCATTTGTGACTATTTACTTAAGTAGACAGTCTAGCTGGACTTCTTGGTTGGGGACTAGACGGTTTCATTTATCCAATTGCACGTATTTCACCGAGTGATACATGTGCTGTTATACTCAAAAATAATTATAGATGACAGATATGGGAATAGGAACCGGGACAGCCGTCTATCAAACTCATAGTACTTAACCATAGGTTTACCGCATGAAATTAGAGGCGCTGGCATGATTCACCATACATGTGAGTGATACATTATGAATTCTCATATAATTCTCATTATTGCCCCATTTCAACATAACTACGTACACAAGGTATCTTTTCCCTCCCACTCCCATGTCTAGACCTTATAAACCTGGTTACCGCTCAACATGATTTGATTTTTCTCCGTCATCTCTTCTAGCGCCTTGAGGGCTTCCTCCTTGCCAAACGCCGACGTCGCACCAACACTCTTATTAATCTCTGCCAAAAGCGGGTCCACATCCGCATAATCGTCATTAAACACGGGCGCCTCCAATAGCCCTGCCAACGCTCTCTGGAACACGTTCAACCGCGCGGGTGTGATAGCTGCCGGCGCCGTTTGCTGCGAGCTAGAGCTGCCGACGACGCTCTCCGCCGGTCTGCTAGAAGCAAATGATACGGATCCCTGGCTCTCAGATGCCTGAGTAGTACCTCTTGCGGAACGGCGAGTAGATCGGGGGGCAGGAGCGGAGTATAGATCATCATCGTTATCGCCGTCTGCCTCCTCCATCTCGACCTCTGGGATCGCTTCTCCGTTTGGAGCAAGTACTTCCTCCACATCGTCCTCGGGTTCGGCGTCAGAGTCATCGGAGCTGCTGTTCATATCCACGTCATCATCGCCTACCCTTCGTCGTTTCCGTCGCTCGGGCTGCATGACCTCCTTGAACAACGCAAAGCGCATGATATCCTCCGCGATCTCAGCGTCTTTTGTTTCCACGCGGTTCGAAAGGCGAGCTTTTGCGTGTGCGGTAGCCAGACGGATTAGGGTCTCAAGGGTACGTGCGGTCATGGGTGAGGTGCGGCGTTGGCTCCCCTCCAGTTCGTCATTACGCAGTGCTGAGTATGTGGCAACAATGTGGTCTGCTGCGCCCTTGGTGAGCACGGGCTTTATCCGCGTTTTGGCGTACTGGATGTATTTCTTCACAAAAGAAATGGTGAAGATTTCTGGTTCCTTTTTCTTCCCACGGCCTTGAGTCACGTTGACACCAGCATGTAGCATTTGGTTGTACTTTTCAAACACCTGCGTTGGACGTCCTGAGGTGGCACTGTCGTCTTCCAGACCAACTCCAAGCATCTGCTGTGCCGCTCCTTCCCTGACGGGGGCACCTTCCTCGGTGCCCGGTTGGCGGTATCGGTGCATACGGAGAACATGCTCTGAAACTTGGCGATCGCGAACATCTTCAATGTCATCAGTGACAACGAAGAGCAGATCGAAACGAGATAGCAATGAGTCTGGAAGTGCGATGTTTCGGTGAGGATCTTTGTGAGGATCGTATTGGCCATAGATAGGGTTGGCGGCGGCAATGACGGAGCATCGAGCATTGAGGGATGTGTGGATACCAGCCTTTGCGATGGTGACAGTTTGCTGCTCCATGACTTCGTGGATGGCAACACGGTCGACATCGCTCATCTTGTCGAACTCATCAATACAGACTACACCACGGTCACCAAGAACCATAGCTCCGGCCTCGAGACGGCGTTCACCAGTTTCTTTATCGGATGTGACAGCCGCGGTTAGACCTACGCCTGAAGAACCGCGACCTGTAGTGGCAATTGCTAGAGGCGCTGTGTTCAGAACGAATCTGAGGAGTTGGGATTTTGCAGTGGATGGGTCACCGACCATAAGGATGTTGATATCTCCTCGAAGATGTGTTCCGTTATCCAGGTTCTTCTCCATACCTCCCAACAACATCAGAAGGATTGCTTTCTTGATGTGTTCGTGGCCATAGATACTAGGCGCCAGAGACATGGAAAGCTTGTTGAAGATATTCTTGTCCTTGGCTTGTTTGTTGATGTTTCTGATGTCAGTGTCGGTAATAGTGGCCTGAGCAATTCCTCCACCGGCCTTAGAAGAGAGGAGGATAATGTTGTTTGCAAGCAGTAGAGTGCGAAAAGTAGACGATCCCTGACCAGCGTTGCGGTTTCCTAAAGAGCGATACAAACCTACCAGCTGGATTCGGTCTCCAGGCTTACATTTATCCACCAAATCATCGTCCATGATCACATCAACGCTACGCGGCAGTTGACCGGCCGGTGCGCGCTCCGGCATTTCCTGGATGGAGATGGTTTGATGATCGCGGTAAATACAGTGGCCATACTCTGTGATCAGCGGGTTCCCTTGCTCATCCTCTTGCGGATAAACCTACACACAATTAGTACCAAATTGTCACCCTTGACGGGAGAAACCAAACATACACTGCTCGTAGCCGGCGCATTTGCGGACATGGTTTGATCTCTGTACTCCCTCGAATGAAAAAGCCTCCTCTTCTCATTCCAATGCACACTCTTGACCACCTTTGGCCTGACCAAACTGACTCTCGTAACAATACCCTCCATCGAGATCATATGGTTCAAATGCTTACTGCTCAGCGTCCTGGGGTTAACTGCATACTCTCCAAAGCTCCCCACGAGTGCACAGTAGTACATGGAGTCATCAGTGATAGCTGGGAAGCGACCGTCGTTGGGCATAGTGCGAACAACATCTTTGAGCGCCTTGTCGAGAGCCTGGAGGTACTCAAAAGGCTCGTTTAGCAAGCCATCAGAGAGCTCGCGGTTGTGGGATCGAATTTCGTCCAGAGAAACCTGTATTCGGCGCTCGCCTCGTGCAAGCATGCGCTTGATGTCGTCCGCATAACTTTTTTGCGCGTCATCCTGCGGATCGAGGAATTCTTGAAACATACGGATGCGATCATTCTGGATCACATCACCAATGCGTGGGCGCTCCATGTTATTGTAGGATGATATGGATAGTCTTGACTCGAGGTTTGCTGCGATGTTGGTGGGTGGTTTCGTGAGGGCCACACAAAGGACGGATCACGGAGATATAGAAACAGACGAAGGTGCAATCCCAAGGAGGGGGATCGTCAATCGTAAATGGGGAAGCCGTGGGGCTGCAGCGCAATGAAGAGTAAGTGGAGGAGGTGGATGGACAACGCGTAGTTTTCCGCGTTAAGTGAAAAGGGGAACACGAAATTAGTGTGCTTGTGAAACATAAGCTTCCTTCGAGTGATATTTTGGGCACACTCCTCAATTACAAAATTATTTCATTCTTTCACGTAGGATTTAACTGTCAAATATTGGGCATGAAGGTATTAGAGCATGAATTGATTGAGGACGAATGGCAATCGTAATATTGTTTTACCCTAACTAGGTCTAATCATAACATTTGTCATTCATCGTTATCATGTTCACACCTTTAAATATCATCATGCGGATCCTCTCGTTGTTGTTCGGCTGAAAATGATTATGTTAGCCATATGAGCATAGCAGAAGGGTAGAAATAGACTACTCACGATCTAGTTTGATCATTGTGTCAATTCGCATGATAGAAATACATGCTTCCACCGCGCTCTTCAAACTTTTGACCTTACTCATAGACGGTTCCAACACACCGGCCTTAACCTCGTCCACAACCTTGCCTTTGAGCAGGTCTAATCCATAGTTCTTGTATCCCCTCTTTTTAGCATCCTGCTCTGCTGCGTTTTGACTGGCGGCGTGGTAGGACCGAAGTTTGGCGACCAAGTCTGAAGAATCTTTAGCCGCGTTAATGGCTAGGGTTTTGGGGATAATGAGGAGGGCCGAAGCGAATTCGGCAATGGCAAGTTGCTCTCGGGAGCCCTGCAGATAATCAGTAAGGGTTATTGGTAACTGTTGAAGAGTGTAATATACAAGGGTGGTAGCAAAGTTCTCGAGGTAGATAGACAGCGCAGTTTCCACTGCACCTCCTCCAGGAACAACTTTGCCGCTTTCAAGTGTCCGTTTAATAGCACACAAAGAATCGTGAACGGAACGCTCCATCTCGTCGAGCTGATAGTCATTGGGTCCACGAAGGATAATGGAAGCGGAAGAGTATGTCTTGGTTCCCTTGACGAGGATACACTCGTCATCAGATATCCTTTCTTGAACTACTTCTTCTGCAAAGCCCAAATTTGAAGCGTCAAACACTTCATCACCCTCCAGGTTAGACAGCGAGCCGACAAGGGTTGCACCAGTCGCCTTTGCGATTCTCCGGAGGTCTTCCTTCTTACAACGCCGGACAGCCATGCAACCGCGCTCAACAAAGGACTTCAAACACAGGTCATCGATGCCTTTGGTGGTAAGGACAACATTTGCACCGGCATCAAGAATGAGTTTTATGCGATCCAAAACCATGGTTGCTTCTCTCTCCCGGATCTTCTCGAGTTGTATTGGGTCGTCGATGGTGATGTGGACACCGAGCGCCATCCGTTGCTTCTGAAAGTTGATATCCAAGACGGCGATCTTTGCGTTCTGGATCCTTGTGGGCATGGCCTGCGAAGCGACAGTGCAGTTAAGCGCATAACCCTTCACCAACATAGATTCCAAAGCACTCTTTCCGTGAGCCTTCAAGATATTAACTGCCTTGACTGGGTATTTAACATCGCCTCGATTGTTGGTAGCTTTAACTGCATGCATAGCATCGACGCACATGTTGGCAAAGAAATCGGAATCAGAGCCGATGATCTTGGAGGATATGGAGGTTTTGGCAATGTTGATCAAGGTCTCCCTACCGAGGGAGTCGACCGAGGTGGACATAACATCGTTCATGAATCTAAGGGCTTCTCTGAGAGCAATTCGGTATCCGGTTATTATGGTAGTAGTATGGATTCGGTTGCGGATGAGGTC